TGAAATTAATTATAGCAGTATGATGACATACCATCACGAAATTTAATGCCATATTTTTTCCTTATGTATGCTGCAAAATAAATATAAATACCTCAATTTTAAAATAGATTTCTTTCTTTCGTTTAGCTGCAGAATGTCTGCAAAAAAAGCCTTATTTTATTCCAGATTGGGAAGATTCTAATCTCATCTCAGTGGAGAAAACAACAACTATTATATTATATTTGTGGTTTTCAAGTGTTAAGGTTTTAAGAACATACCTCACGCAAATTAAATTTACCTAAAATCTAACCTAACTATTTAGCATTGCGTTGTGATTTATAAGGACCGGATTAGCCTCGTGTTGAAAACTGGTGATGATCATGAGTAATAATTAAATAAAACATACATTGTTTATCCAATATATATATCTTAAATTTTATTAAGTTTCTTAAGTGGAAAACTAAACAAAATTATCAAACAAAGTATACCAAGAATAATTAGAATAAATGTCCTCTGGGATTTATGAATAATTAAGTGAATTTGCTACACAATACAATAATACCATAATTAATTTACCTCTTAGCACAGCCAACGTACATTACGCGGATAGACTGGAATTTTCTTGAAACACACCTGGAAAAGTCAGGGAATTTCATTCTCCTGTTTGAGTGGCAACCCTGTTAATTTATTAACACCTCAAAATACCAATGACTAAGCCCATACATCTTTCTGCAGAAAATTATCTACCATGTGCCAATCTATAACAGAAAATAACTTAATTAATGCAAGCTAGGTTTTGTTGTTACACTTTAATTCTAAGTACAAAATGTGTAATTTTCTATTGCTGTGATGCAGAATTTAGGAAAATTTTATCTATATTTCTGTCTAGAATCAAAAAAGGATGCTTCATTTCTAGTGTTTGTGTGAATAAAAGTTTATTAATCACATGCACCACAGTGTTTACACCAGGCATCTGTTGTTTAGGGCGTTTTCTTCAGCTATGTTGCATATCTTCATTACTTTTATCAGCACCTGAAGAAGAATCTTTGACATCAGTATTTCTCATTTTAACTTCTATTACAATATCAGTATTGCTTGGATCTTCACACATAACAGCATTATCATTGCATGTTTGAAGAAGCTTCAAATTAAATTCTGAAAGTATTCAAATAACATTTTTTATTCCTAACCTCTTAAAGATGTATATATTCTCATTTTCATCATTTTCCAATTCAGTTCTCTGTTTTATATGTCTTGTGTTAAAACCAAAAAAAAATTCAGATGTCTGATTTTGGAACAGATCGCCAAAACTTTAGTGAAACATTTCATTGAACATTGAAACATTTCATCAAGAAGTGAAACAATATATCTACTTGCTTTCTGTACTTTTCTAAATGCTTAAAAGGAGACTGGTTTTTGTAATAACACATCAGACTCCTGATCATGCCTTAGTCAAAAATTTTAGAATCGAAGTTGCATTTGGGAGTAAGAAAAATAATTCGTTTTAAGTTTTGATATATATATATGTGTGTGTTTAATAAAGTTGTCAATATTTTATTTTTGGGCCAAAAAACATCCATCCTACATTCATAGCATGACTTCAAACAACTTGGGCATTATGCAAACCTTACAATTAGATTTATAGAAAACAGAAAGAATTTTTACATTATTTAAAGATTTTTGCTGAGATTTTCCAGTTACCAAAACCATATGATATTTAGTGACATTGATATCAGTACACAAAAGAATGTAATTCATACTTTTGATGTTTTTTGACCAATGCATTTTTGACTTTTTGAAACCAAATTTGAACATTTGGTCATGTTGTAACATCATCTTGTAGAACAGCTCAACTTCACTAATGGTGAATATGTCTTTCTCTTGGCAAGAGACATTAAACACCACCACCTCTCTAATTTCTTGACATTTGATTTGGAAATGCTTCCTGATTCTCAGACAATTTTTCCTGGGAAAAAAAAATATATATATATATATATATATATATATTGTTCTGTTTTAATTTATCGAATTAGCTCAGTGGTTCTTCTTTTTTGCCCCATGCATCCCTTTCATCATTGGTAGCCAATCATTCTGCCCTCACCCCCACTTTCCAAAAATCTAAAAATGTATATGCATTTATTTAAATTTAGGTTATTTTTAAATGTGTTGTATAAATTAAATCAGAAGAAAGTATAGAAAATGTTGATAAATACCAAACCATGAATAAAAGTAGTTTTTTTTTTTTTTTTTTAATGCATATGCATAAACTAAAACTAAATACTTAACAGGTAAATAAAAGTCTGCTTCCTCTCTTAAACTAAAATATATTTCCCTGGTTAAGAACAACTGAATTAGCCGTATGAGCATAAAGAACCATTGGCATATTTAATAGCCTTTATCAGAAGATTTCTCCGAATATTGGCAGATTATGGCTTTTTTGAATGGCGAGCCACCATCATGCAAAATATATGAAGAAGGACCCTATTCAAAAGACAGAACTTATACAGCATTTTAAATATTGAAACAAAAAGCTCATAAGGATAAAAAACTTCGTTATAGCTCCAAGCTCATAGGAATTTATTCACTTTTTCCCTGAATTGTTAAGATTTCAAAATTTATTATTTCTGTTTGAAACACAGAAAAGTTGGGAATAGAGATAAAAAGAACACCTTGTAAAATCTCAGTTTTATAAAATATATGGGCTATGGATCCTAACGTCCGGTACTCAGAAGGTTTCAAAAGTTTGTAATTAAAACTTGCAGAAATTCTGAAAAAAAAAAGTATGAAAAATATAAAAAAATATCCATAAAGTTCATTATATCTAATTTTCATGCAGTTTTAAAGTCTGCTTTAGTAACTTAAAATGTATAGGAAATTGGACTAGATCAGAAAGTTTTGATTATTATATCCAGAGGTTCATTCTAAACTAGATTTGCTAGAGCAGGATTGGACTTCATTCACAGGATTAAAATTATTCCATATTCATTAGTCAATACAATACTTATTACTGTTTCTGACCTGCATGTATTTTAATACCTGGTTATCTTTTATTACTAACTTTTGATGAACTTTGGTAACTTTTACTAACTTTTGATAGTATGGGAAAGAAATGGCTAAAGCCAGATTGAACAATATTTTGTTCAGTCTGGCTTTAGCCATTAAATATGAGAAAAACTGTGACACTGAACTTTTCTTTTTTCCATGAGTATGAATTTTTAACAGTGTTGTTATTTTTCTTTTTACTATCAGACTTTAGATAACTTAAAACTGAACTTGGGGAAACAATTTTGAAGAATCAAAAATTCATCTTTTCAAGAAAAGTTAATATTAATTATTCATTTTGAGGATTCAGAATGGCATATAAAAATTTAGATTGTAGATAAAGAGTTCAAGTAACTAAAGTAATGTTGTTTTATACGTCTTGTGTTTAAACCTTTCTCTCTTATGCTGCTTCATCTTGCCAGCTCCATGAGATACAATGCAATGTTCCATGAGATGCAATGTTTACATCAGCAGCATTAATTTGAAAAGGAATCTTGATTCAGACTAATATATTTTTCTCTGAAAAGAATGGTTTTTAACCTTTGTGTGATCCCAACCCAAAAAATTTCATCTTTATAAGATTAGGTCTGGTCCCAACAATTTACTCAAAATTCTTTTTCCATTTTCTTTAGTGTTGATTATTTTAACAAAAGATCTTTAGCACATTTTTGTTCACAGTATAAAATACTGGCATATATAAAACTGCATTCAGTTATCCATCCCTAAACTAATTAATTCTGTATTCAGCATAGTGCAATTTCCTCTGGCCAGAATCATTAAAAGAATTTGTTCTGATTTTTATATGCATATCTATTCTGATCACCAAAAATTTATAATTTTATTCAGTATGAAATTGGTTAGTTTGTTCTAAATTGATTCTTCTATAAAGATCTTGTGGCATAAAAAAAAATCAAAATTAAACTCAATTATTTAATAACTGTTTCAGCATATTGAAAACTTCCATACAAAATATTAAATACCAGAAGAGAAGATTGAGAAACACTTGAAAAAAAAATAATTTTTTTTTCTGGTCTCTCCATCTTATTTAAAATAAGTAGGTTGTAGTTTAAATTAAATTTAGGCAGATTAATTGAAAGTTAACACTTGGAAGGAAGCATACTATGTTAACAATCAATTATTGGTGTACACAGTTCAGTAAAACATTTTGCTCATAAAGTTTAAGCATTGTTTTTAAATTCTACTGCAATATTTTTCCTGAATGTTGAGAAATTTCAAAATATGAAAATACCTGATCATTCATGAAGTCTTCAATGTGAATATGCAGCTTTATCAGTAACATTTCCTTTGCAAATGTTTAATAGATCTTCTGGATTTGAGCATTTTGATACATTTATAAATATTATTCCCCTTCAAATTGTTCCACTATTCATGAAAAATGCTTAGAAAACTTAAATTACAAATTCCCCAAAGGGCCTCTTGGGCAGCCCTACAAAGTCTTTGAACAAAGCAAAAAGTTGATACCATCTGTAGAATTACTATCTGTAACATCATTAAGATCAGTGCAGCTGTAGAGGTGGTTGCCAGTCATGTCAGTGCAACCATTTAATAAACAGATTAACGAGTTTACTAGACCCATTGGGATGATCTGGTAACTTTTTGAACTTCTGAAGACTAGTTTGAGGTCTGATATAACTACTTTAAGAATCCAGTACCAAATCATGGCCCAATGATTAGGAAATGCATATTTACTAAATGATGTTTTATTTCAAATTAATGATGTGATGTATGATGTAAAATTTATACAACCAAATAAAATGTTTTTGGCTGTCAATATGTTATTTCATTCAATTCCAATAATGTTGCCATGTAGTTCTCATTTGAGACCCACTGGCTTAGAGGATTAATAATCAGTTTGAGAAATCTGAAATATTTTTTGCATGAAAACTACTGCAATCTAAGTATTTAGTAACAAAATTTAGTTCAGAGTTTCGATTTTGGAAATAAGAATTTAATTTTTATTTTATAGAACACAAGACATTCATCCTTCATTTGAAGCTTTTGAAACAAGAGAAGGTTTACCCTATTTTCATTGCCCTGAGTGCTCAAGTAAACAAGGTAAATATTTTTCTCAAAAAATTGCCTTAATAACATTTTTTAATTATTATTTTATTTGTATGTATGTATAACAAATTATCTAGAATTTCATTGTTGATAAAGTATTATTAATAATTTATGTAAATTGTGTCAGCAATTGTATAGAGTATAGCGTATTGTATAGAGCAGCGGTTCTCAACCTTTTGACTAACACATACCATCTAAACAAAAACTGAAAAACTTTAGTACCACCACTACATTTTACAATGATTATTTTTCAATTTCTCAATAGAAATATATTGCCATTTGCACAATCTGTTGGCTATTTGTATTAAATAAGCACACATAAAAAATACTAGATTAAAATTTGTTTACCACTTTAATTATCAAAATTTGAGTTATAATACTTTTAATTCTAAAACTTAAAGTGAAATTTAGCCTGTGTACTAGAGATTATATTCTTTATGTCTGATATTATTTCACTTAATTTTGACCGTAAATTAGGATACACTTTTAATTTTGTTCTGCATTTATTTTTCAAATATAACATGAAAGGAAATCCTTGTTCACACAAATAGGTTGTGCAAAATGGCAGTGAAAATTTAATAGCTTTATTTGAAATGTCTTTAAATCCGATTTTTCGGTTCAGCAGAAAGTTAACAAGTGTGTTATTTTTGAAATTTCATTTAGAGTTCAATCACAGGAAATTTCTGACAATTGTTCTTTTTCTTCACGGGATAAAATTTCAGGTACATTTGAACAAAATGGATTTCTAAACAAATTTTCTTTTTCATAATCCTTGAGAAAATACATGCTGTAATTATTTATCAGTACAAAACTATTATTTTTAATGTTGGATGCTAATTCTTTTAGTTTCAAATTATTTTTGGTTAGAAAACTGTCTAAAAGTAGTAAAATGCTTAAAATACTATTATCCAATTCTTTGAATTTTAGTCCAAGTTCTTTTAACATTGCATTTATTTTATCTCTAATGGAAAACAAACTAACACTTTGACCTTGTAATCCTAAATATAATTCATTTAACTTTCCAAAGGTCTCAGCTAAGTATGCTAAACATCTAAACCATAATTCACGAAGTAAACATTTTTGCAATTCAAATTTTGAATCACAGAGGAAAACTTGAATTTTTTATCAAAGTTCAAAAAGACGATTTAAACTTTGCCTCTAGATAACCCCCTTACTTTGGAATGTAACAAAAGCGTCTGATGCTCACTGCCCATCTCTTAGCATAAAATCGTAAATATTCTTGAATTTAAAACTTAGCTTTTAATAAAATTAACAATTTTCACTGCTTGATTCAAAAAAATTTTGGGGATTGTTTTGGATACTACAGTTTTATGATGAATATAGCAGTGAGTAAATTTAGTTTCAGGTGCGACTTTCTTTATTTGAGAAATAATACCGGAATGTTTTCCTGTTAAAACCTGAGCTCCATCACTGCATATGGCAATGTGCCAAGGAATATCATTTTAAGATATAAAATTGTCATTAACTTTGAAAATTTCATTTGTAGTTACTTTATTATGAAGAGATTCACAAAATAAATAATCTTCGGCAATGCGTTAATCTTCTTTGAAATATATGTAAATTAATAATTGAACAAAGATCGTTAAATCAGTACTTTCATTCAATAGCAATGCGAAATACTCACTATGTTTTATTTTTTAAATAAGTGTCTCTTTTATAGAATTTGCCATTTCGTGAATTTGTCGACTTTTAGATCATTCCGGATATTGGACGTCCGGATTTCATACTTTGTACTGTATCTTTCTTTCTGTGGTAAAGCAGATAAAAACACTGTTTGAAACAGCTGTTTGCCCAAAGTGAAAGGATGTAGCAGCCTTATAATATCAAAAGCTGGTTAATGCAGCATAGTGCATATTTCCTCATTTAAAGGTGGTAGAATAAGTTCTTCACCAATGCTGTGTATGGCTTTCTGACTTTGCTGTCAGTAAAGAAATGTTCTAAGAAATATGCAATTCATCTCTTCTTGCTCAGATAATAAAGTTTTCAAATATTCTTCTTTGACTCTTTTTAAAAAAGTCCCCCCTTTCTTTGAGAGGGGGGTCACTACTGACTTTTATCAAATGATTGATTCTTAAGCTTCATTTATTTGTTTGACAAAGTTTAATTGAATAGAAGGCACATAGGTAAAGTACTATGTCCTGGTAATGGAGTAAAGCCATATTTTAAATATTAAATAATGTATTATCTGCAGTTTTTCTTCAGCTCATTCGTAACAGGACAAAATTTCTTTTATTTTACTCTGGACGTAAAAAGTGTTTCCAGTCATTATTGCTATTTACACTATTTTTGCAGAGAAAAAAAAAGGGGGCACCCTTAAAAAAATAATCCTATCATCTCAAAATTTTGTATATAAATTCCTTTTTGCCAAGTACACAAATGATTAAATTTTCAAAGCTATTGAGAGTAAACTTCATTCATAGAGCACATTTCTACTATGCAACTATCATTGTATAAAACAGGTAAAAACTGCACATGGTTTATCATTTCTCATTGTTGGCACTACAGCTCCCTGGAGATGTAACCATTAATACCATTATGACATTGTCGAAGATTGGATGATTTCAAACATGGTCACATGATAAAAATGTGTGAAGCGGGCTGGTCATACCGAGCAATAAGACACTACTCGAACCATATGCACATTTTAGTGAAAAGGTGCTGGCAACAATGGCTGCTGCATGGTACTTATAAGCATAATGAAGGCTCTGGAAGGTAAAGGTGCATAAAAGAAAGGCAAGATCGGATGATTGTGCAACAAGCCTGAACTACCCCAACAGCATCATTATTTGCTATTTAACGTGCTACAGCATCTTCCATACCATCCGTGACACCTTCCACCATTTCATGATGCTTGTAGGTAGGGTTGCACTCGGGATGTTCTTTAAGACATTCGCCTTTAACCCCAAAACATCAACAGGCTTCTGGAATGGTGTTAAAATTAATTATCACGGCTACCAGCTGATTGGCATCCAAAATGTTCAGTGATGAATCTATCTTCCTTCTTGATGCAGATTACCATTGGTCCATGTGTGGTGGGACCAGGGCCAGCAGTCCCAATGAGCCTTTGCTTTACAATGGCACACAGCCATTAGTCCTGCTGTGATGGTGAGAGGGACTCTTATGACAGCAGGTCAGCCTTAGTCATCCTGCATACAATGTTAAGAGCTCAACAGGTTGATGACATCATGTGCCTATTTGTGTTACCTGTCATAGCGTAGCATCCTGGAGCCATTTTCTATCAAAATACTGCTAGACCCCATACAGCTCGCATATCTCTGCATTGTATCCAAGCTGTTAATACTCTTCCTTGCCAGCAAGGTCTCCAGATCCTTCGCCAGTTGAACATGTATGAGGTATGTTAGGCTGCCAGATTTGGACTCCGTAGAATGCTGCAGATCTGCAGCAACAGTTGAGGATTGGCTGGCAGAATGTATCACAGGATGAGATTAGGAGTTTATCATTCCTTACCTCACTGTTTACAAGCATGCATTGCCCCGAGGGGGGTTTCACCAATTACTGATTTCAACATTCAGTGTGTGATTGCTAGTCACTGATGGATCCTGTGGCCTTGAAATTTTAATCATTTTGTTACCTGTGTGTTACTTTTATACAAATTTATTTTCATTAAATTTCATTAAAAAACAATAACCTTTTTCATGGTGCTTCTCCTCCCACCCCCTTTCCAAATTGGTATATATAGTACAAAATCCGTAATCCGGACTCGTCAAGGCCTTTTTTTTTTTTTTTTTTTTTTTTTAAATCATTTTAGTTTTGCAATAAATGTGGCTTTTATGGCGTGTTGTCCAAGGCAGGTTGTAAAGGTGTAACAGTAAGGTTGGAAAAGCATTTTCTAAAGCATTTTTTACGTAATTTTAATAACTATTTTTATGTAGATATTTATATTAAACACATCAAAACAATAAAGTTAATAAATATGGTATCACATTGTTGTCTTTTTTTTTATTTAAAAGTTGGATGCATTGCAGGGAAAACTGGTGATCAGTGGACATGATATCACATATTTGATCACCCATAGATCCATCAAAAACTGTTTACTGTCAAAAATATTTTGCATTTTCGAATTTAGGACAGAACATATATTAATTTTCAGCAATTAAAAAAAAATGCTTTCTGAGGGTCAAAAATTCGGGAAAAAAAATCCAACCTAGAAGGGGTGAAACAAATCTTCTTTCTTCCCCCCCCCCGCATGAAATTGTCAGTGTTTCTGTTTAAGTGAGTGCATTAACCCTTTCTGGTACTCTACCTTTTAAAGTTAAAGTCTCAGCAAAAAAAAAAAAAAAAAAAAAAAAAAAAAAAAAAAGGAGGCAGTCAAATCAGGCCTAGAGGAGCACACAGGTAAAAGTTTGTGCAGATAGCACTTATCATTTTAATTCTGTGGGTGTGCCCGAAACGAGCGCACTGAATGAATAGAGCTTCGAAAAGAGTGCTAAAAGGAGCATTGCTGGGAAGCACGTAAAAGAGCAAGAGATTTTGCCTACAATTAAAAAACATTAAATTCTGAATACTGTAAATATTTAGCATTACCCAGGGTATGCCATGGGGAAGCATGCTACTTTACACCCCCGCCTAAAAAAGCTCATTTTATCTGATAGGTTATATGATGATTACATGCGTGTGAATGGAAAAAAAGTAACTTGGGTATATGATATTTACATTTCATATTTACACATTAATCCTTTTTTTTTTTTTTTTCATGGTGGTACTTTTCGAAGAACGTGACACCACCTTTGAAAAAGCACAACCCAATACAGCACAAAATCTGTAATCTGGAATGATCTATAATCCGGACCTCAAAGCCACAAACTTTTTTTTTTTTTTTTTTTGTATGCTTTATGCACGCGCGTTTAATGTTTACACATGCGCGTTTAGCACAAAAAACGAAACAACTTGCATTGAAAGAAATGTTTAATAAAGTAAACAAATAAATATTAAGCTTTTTTTGTAAATTCTGA